TCATAATTTTATCTAATAAAGAACTAGAGGAAAGACCTCCCTTGATAAAAAAAAAAAAAAAAAAAAAAAAAAAAAAATTATTAATCGGCTTATTGCTCTGTATTTTAAATTTATCTACTAATTCTGACCTTACTGCCAGATCTGCTTGCTTTCCTTTCATATCTAAATCAAGCACAATTCCATACAATAGGTCATTCTCGTTAACTCCTTCATCCCTAAAGTTTGCTTGATATTCGCGTATAAATCCTTTTATCTTGACATCCATATTGTCCTCTAAGAGTACATTTCCTTTAAACCCTGATACTCCACGTTCAGATATTTGCTTGTTTACTTTACATTTAACTACTTCACCGATATTGACCTTTTTCTCAATGGTTGAAAGTGTCGTTTGTCCATCTTGAGGTATAAGTTCATTAAAATAGGTTCTTATAAAATCGCCTTGTGATATGTATGGAAGTGCAATAACGGAGGTATCCGATAACTTTAAAGACACTTCACACCTTGAATTTTCAGTATCAACAGAAATTACACGGCAAATGACTGATTGATGAGGATAAAATATTAGCTGCCCGATACGAAAGTATCGGAGCAGTATTTTGTCTCGAATCGATCACGGGTGTATGATGAGTGTGGTATTGTGATTTGACATGTGATTTACGTCATTTGAAGCTTCGCAGTGATTTATTGTATGATTTCGATTGATGCATTATTGTGATTTATCGTATGATTCGTATTTGATTTTTGACGTATTGACGTATTGACGTAGTATTTACGATTAGTAATCAATAGTAGTATTTAGAAGGAACTGATTGTTTCCCAGGAAAGGTATCTTCTGTTTTTTCTGCTAACCCGACTTTGTCTGGTTTTTTCGCCCCGCCCTACCCGGCCCTCGTGACTTATTGTGGCGGCGTTTAGCATTTTCCGTCATTTTCCGTCATTTTGTTGAAGTGTGGCCTGTCGGACGACAGTCACAAGAGTTTTTTTATTGATGTTTGTATGTTGAAGCGACCTGTCTAAATGACAGGCGTGAAAAAACTTCCTTGTAGGCTTTTACAGAATGGTGGCCTGTCGGGATGACAGTCACAAAAATTATTTCCTTAGAAGCCAGTCAGTTTTAGGACAGATTCTTTCGATACTTTCGAGTTCTGCACTTTTAGTAGTATAGCATGTATAGCACGTGTGCGGAAGGGACAGATAACCCATAGTTGTTTTACATTTTGTTTCTGTTTGTGTTTCTTTCTTGCTTTCTCTTTTTTTTTGACCAGTAACACCCCTCCTCGATGAGGGACAAAAACCCAACAGGACTGGCGACATAATGGTCTGCAATAGTCTGAAAATTTATAGAGTATTTTTTTCGATGTTATTCATAATTGAAATATGAAATGATATAAAAAATGTAAACAGGTACTTACATGTCTCATGGCCCTTGCGGTAAATCCACCCAAGAAACCAATAAATACAGCATAATCAGTAATACTT